AACTTATAGTAGAAACAAACAGCACTTTGAATGTGGACTTCATATTTTTATTGCACTTGCAGCAAGGACTATTTTGTTGAATGACAGCAAAGGTTTTCTATATTTATTCTAGTATTAAAAATAATATTGAGATTCTGGATCAAAGTTGTATTTTATCTAACTTTAATCCCCTACCTGTGTGTCACAGGGGCCTATAATATAATATGAACAAAAAAATACAAATAGGGAGGTAAATTTATGCTCTCTGTTTATATACAAAGCATGTTTAACAAAGAAAGACTCCTGGTTGTAAATGTTTTTCATTGATATATTTTTTTTCTGCTACAGCTTTGCTCATTTTTGTGTACACTGAATTATAGAAATCACTCCAGGAGTCCAGGTTTTAAAATGCTATAACAATCCTAATTTTAGGATGAAGTAATTGGAAAAGTACTTAATCCTTTTTCAGAATAAAACTATCTGAGTTGAGATACAGCACCAACGTGTCTGGATTATTAAGTTGAGACAACCCATCTAGTTTTACAGTGTAGAAGTTCCAGCGCTTTTACGTTCATCAGTGAAAACGTTACACCGGGATGTGATTGGATATCTGGTGAGAGCAAAATAAATAAATAAATAAAATTAAATTTAAAAAAAATCACCGCTTTAATACTATTTCAGTTTCATTTCGTCCAAAGCAGAAAGCTGCTCGCTGTAATCAAGCCCAGTTCAGGACTTCAGTCACAGAGGCGCGCCACAGAGCCAACATCTGGATCCGAGCTGCTTTAACCGTTAGCCGATTAGCTGGCTAGCTTGCCGTCTGCCTGGCTAAAGACACCTTTATCTTTATAAACTCTACCCTCTCGGGTCAGATTTTGTGATGGCTTTCATTCGTTTAGCTACCCAAACGTAAGCAGACACCACCGTTCGCGGTTGCATCTGCTGCATCTGTTGGCTCAGCATCCTTTTGTGAATCAAACAGCTGGATGCTCATCCGCAGCAGCAGCAGCACCCTCCCTCCTCTCTTTGTCACTGCCTCTGCTCTACGTTTAAGGATGACAGAAAAAAGAAAGCCCCGTGTGCATGCTTATAAAACGTGCGCTCAGTACCTTTTTATAATTCTTTCCCAGCCAGACTCGGACATTATCAAACTGGGAAACGGTGTCAGACGCTTCAAAATATTTTACATTCGGGCCGCCGTCTTTCTTCCGCACCGCCATCTTTGCCTGCAGACAACCAGTCGACGTTGCCTGCCACCTAGCGGACAGAACAGGCTACTGCATCTGGTAGATGCCACAGAGGTTGTGATGACAGGGACAGATCGGCAGGGGGCAGCGTTGTGCAGATAATATTTTTAATTGCGCGTCCTGGGGGCAAATTACAGTTTTCCAGAACACGGTTAGTATGCTGATAATATTCGGTCCTTTTACAAAATTAATAAGAAAGGTTAAAGCTAATTGGATGTCTAGAATTGAAATAAGCAACAGTGTTTAAGAACATTTTCAACATTGTAACTGCATCGGTCAGCTAAATAAAATGATGGGAATTGACATTTTAAATGTCATAATACTTTAAAAGCAAACAAATTGTGAAGAATAAAATGTCATACTGGAAACATAAGTACAATAGTTTAAACAACTATATAAACATATGTTTTATTACACTAGTGGAACTACAACTAATTTTTTTTTAAATAAATCTTCACATAATTACTTGAGCCACGGCTGGAGTTAGGCAGAATGTAGGAAGGATTAGAGGAATTTGTGAAAATCCTATAGAATAGATTCACATAATTATCTATAAAATGACATTTCAAGAGTTTTTTTGTTTGTTTGTTTGTTTGTTTGTTTGCTTGTTTTGTTTTGTTTTTTGGGGCACATTTTGTTATTTGGATTTTCTCTTCAGAAGTAATTAAGAAATAATAATAAAAAAATAGTTAATTCCAATGGTTTCTTCTATTTTCCCAACAAAAAATTAAGCAAGATGTCTCACAACAGCCTGGTAATAAAGCTTGTGAAAGTGAACAATTAGAAGAAATAAAGAAAATCAATTATTCTGATATGAAGGTAGTAAGTTTATTATACACTATTTAAGATAATACTCTCTATTTTAACCCTTTGAGTATTTTTTGAGTGAGACGGTGAGATAGAGAAATAGTAAAAAACAATTCCATAGTTCTTAATAGTTGTGAATATATATATGTTTATATATAAATTGCTCAAAACCATCACTACTATCAATAATAATAATAATAATAATAATAATAATAATAATAATAATAATAATAATAATAATAATAATAATAGACTGACACATTAAAGAAAGTTCTTTAAAAATTTACTGAATAAGATTCACGTCAAGATGAAAACAAAAACAAAAACATGGGAAGAGCAGTAAAGGTTTCCCGGTATTTACATGAGGCTAATACATTTAAAAGCTTTATGTGCAGCTCCTATCCACATGGCTAAACCTTTCTAAGCATTGGAAGTTAAAATATTAAATAAAAAAACTCCAGAAAAACTAGAACCAAATACTTGTCTGACATGTGAGACTTTTTTCATGTCTCTGACCTTTTCAGTGGTTCTCATTTAGTCAGAAGTTAAAATTAACCCTCATTAACAGACAATAGTTGCGTGTGTGAGTGTGTGTCTACGTGTGTGTGTGTGTGTGTGTGTGTGAGTCTTATAGGACCCAGACTAATTTGTGAAAATCCAGAGACAACACTGAGAGAAGAGAATTGCTCCTTGAACTAGTATTCCTCAGACTCTTGGTGTGTTTGTATTTGCTCTTGAACGTGTGTGAGCATATCTGTGCGTGTGTGTGTGTGTGTGTGTGTGTGCCGTCCACCCGTCGTCTGTGCCGAAGCGGAGAGAGAGAGAGAGAGAGGAGCCTATTGATTATTTTAATCCTCCTATTTGTGAGTCTGTGATCCTCTCGGCTCAGCCTTCCACAGGAGGATTGCTAATGGGCCTGAACGCTTCCCTCCTCAGCCCACTCTCCCTGTCCAATTAACTGAACGTAGGAATGTGCAGGGGAGGGAGCGCTGGGACTCAGAGGAAAGGGGTGAGGGGGTTAGGAGGAAGTGGAGGGGGGGTGGGAGGCTACAGTCCAGCGTTTCTCAAACCAGTCATCTACACCACATTCTGCAAGAAACCCCTCGCCCAGAATAGTATTACCTCTCACCTTTAATTAAAGATCCATCTCCTTGTTTTTATTCTGGGGAGCCGAGAACTCCCTTCTTTATGTTCCAGTGTTTCATTTTCACAGGCCGGTCAGGCAGGCCGACGGCGGAGCCAGCAGAAATGGAGAAAACACACATTTTAATGGGAGAGAGTCACCTTCTCACAGGTTGGTGTAGTTGTAGTTCTGACATTTAATATTTGTCTCAGAAATGTGTTCAGCTCTCGAATAAAAATGGATTTCAGAGCAGAATCTGTGATGCTTCACCTGAATCGAAGCGGTGTGGTTAACATCAGAAGGAGTTCATTTATGTGGCTTATTATTTATTTATTTAAATTTACTGAAAATACTTCAGATTTGCCATAAAAACATAACGATATGTTTGCCACTGATGAATCCCAGACTGCAGATACGTCAAGTGGATCCATTTTTAATAGCATCTCAAGAACTCAACAAACTTTCCACCAACTGATGAGCTCATCGTTATCATCATTATCATTATTATTATTATTTCTGGTATTACAGTCACTACAGCATCTTTTGAATTTGCTACACGATGGAAAAATATTATAAATACTTCTGCTCACTCTAAACATGTTTCTCATTTTAACGGTAAAGCTGTTGTTTTTACTGCATGATCATATTGTTCTGTATTCATAATAGAAGATTAGATTTTTTACATTTTGAGTTCTCATACCTCCTTGATGTACAGCAAGGGGGTCCATAAGTCTTACAGCATAAATAAGTATCAAAGCAGAGTCCAATGTTATCACATTTTATGAAATTTGGATGAAAAATCAACATCAAAACTAGAAATCTTTCAATTAATTAAATTATATACTTAATATGATTTTGAAAAGAAAAGTCTTTCCAGTCCCTCACAATATTTTAGTGTATGTCTTTTTTTTCTGTGGCATTTGTGAGAATTTACAGAAAACAACAGAATGAAATGTAATTTACTGATTTCGTAATTAGCCATGGTAACAGATTCCTTCTGATTTTGCCTTTTTATCACACTTGCATGATTAATATAATCAAACCCGTTTTAGAATCAAAGATAACGAGGTATAAGGTTTTTAAAAGGTGATTTAATATCTTAGGGGCGGGAGAAAGGCATCAAAACCTACTTAATAACTAGTTGTGCAAACCTTGAAGGCATCACTTAAGTAGAGGTAGTAGCAAATATGATATGATTAGGCAAGAGTCTAATTAAACCGTTAAAATAAAACATTTTAGTTTCATTTATTGTGTTATTTGTTTTTACTTTGATTTTTATTTAGCAGTTTTATTGGAAATTCATTTATTGTCTTTGTGGCAGAATGAACTCAGCACACTATACTCCAGTGTGTTTCTACAAGGAACAAAGAGGATATTTCTTAATCCTTTGTTTACATTTTAACCAAGCAAGTCCACGTAAAAAAACAAAAAAAAAAGATATAATGCAAAATGAAATGAAATGCTGCATAGTTTAGAAAGTTGTGGTTTTCAGGTAAATCAAATAAAGAAAGAAAATGCACGACTATGCATTAATACTTCTGTGTAGGACTTGTGAGTATTGACTGCTCTACACTGTAAAAATGAATTTGTACTTACCTGCTCTTCGTTGTCAAAGTAGTAAATTATTAATATCTAAGCTCTGCTGTATGATAAATCAAGTTTGATTCTTTTTTTTTTTCTAAAAAATGCAATGTTACTTTAAAAATGTTACCGCTTCACAACAGATTTTACCACATGGTTCTTTATTTTTCCCCAGAATAAATAATAAAAGTGTATAATAAAACCCGGGAAGCCATTTGTTGGACTTAGTTACAGTGAAATAGTTCATAATTTTCTTTTTTTTATTATTGTATTTTATGGTCTTTCGGGGGGGGGGTAGGGGGAAAACACTGCAGCTCACAGTAACAAAGTAGAACACACAACTCAGCTTGCAAATGCACAGTGACAATAACTCAAACTTTTTCCAATCAAAGGTAACAGTTCCGGTAATAACACACACAGTGAGATGCAGCATGTCATCGTGGTGTTATGAAAGCCTCAGAGGGGGGAACTGGAGGTGTAAAATCCTGGAGTCGGCTGAGTTTTTCTGTTACAGCAAGAAAATTATGAGATGAACGGATAATTTCACATGAGAGACGAGTCATGTTTTATATTTGGGACAAGAAGGCATACGATACATTTACAGTATTGAGGTTAAGTATTAGGCATAATTATAAACTCTTCCCTTCACTGTGTTTACAAGTGAAAGTTACAATTCATTTCTTCACAGGATTTCTTTTATGGGTAAGCATCCTTGTTTTATGGATGCAGAAATAAACTGACTTACAAATAGTTTTTTTTTTTCTCTCTCCTTACATCATTATCCCCTTTTCCAACGTTTACAGGATTTATTTTCTTCTGGTTATAAAACAAAGACTCATAGTAGCGTTCTTCTGCTTAATATTCACTACCAGTGGATGAAAACATGAAATCCCTCTCCGTTTCTGTTGCATCCTGTGGATCAACTTCTGCACATATCTTTGTTTTAATAAGGGAAAGAAATGTATTCAAAAGGGAAAAAATATATATATATATAAGGCACGAAGAACCTATACTTATGGCAAATGGCAGTAATAGTCAACAACAGTCAGCTGCATTTTGAAAAGAAAAGCATTTAATATGTGTCCGTTTACAATGAAATAATGAAAAACACATTTTAAAGTAAAAGCTCATCCCTGCCTCACTGAAACCATCTTTCTGTGCCGAGCTAAAGAAGAGGTTTGAACCTTTCTTGCTCTACTCTTTTAATTCAAGGAGCTCTGGCACTATGTAAAGAACCTCCAAGACGTGTGTGTTTTAAGAGGATTATGCTCCTTTTCAGCTTGCTGTGTGTTTGAGTGCGCTTCAGGATGCCACTCAAATGGTTTTACATGATTTATGGCTGCAAGGAAAACTTCACATGTGGCATGCCGTCTGTTTTCCTGTTTATCCCAAGCCTCAAAGGGGTGGATGTAGGCTAAAATACGCCATTTACACATTATTATTTTTTTTTTAACATCTTGTAGAAGGACAACCTTTAGCAAACTGCCAGAGCTTATCAGTGTCCCACTGAAACACCCATTTGTGTTTAATTTTCACATGAAAGGAAATTGGTTTGAACGTTCAGGAACGATACTGAGACCTATCGAGCCTGGAGTTCATTATGTACCGAAAGATGTTGAATTACGACTGTGACAGTCCACAAGAAAACAAGAACCACCTTCCCTTAAATCAACATGCTCAAGCTTGACAACAATTCGCATCTGCCCACATAAACAAACCAAATGCCCTTTTCAGAAAGTCTTTGAGGCCAGACAACACAAAAATCGAGCAGTTTGGTGACACTAAGAGGTGTGTATCAAAGCGTCAGAGTTACTATTTCAAACCTTAATACACGGTCATAGCATCATCATACTGAAGTCTGTTTTGCTGCTAATTGTACCAAGTAGATGAAAAAATTAAGAATAACCTCCAAATTATTTAACTTTATGGTAAATTACCAGCTGGATGGCTATAATTGGGTGGTCCAGCATCCCAAACCAAACTGGTTTTGGAATGAATAAAGTATGCAAACATTAAAGTTTAGGAATAGTGCTGCCCTCAAGCCTATTGGAAATGTATCAACGAAGTTTAAGAGTCAAGTGTGAAAGGAAACAATTAGATGAACGCTGCTAAATTTTGATGAGAGAAGTTGGGCTGTTGATTCTCAACATATTAAAATCTGCATTTGTGGAAAAAAAATGAAGTAAGTTAAGTTGAGAAGAAAGTAAATTGGTATCAAAAATGACATCATAATTATCCACCTTTTTTCATCTCATTGAGAAAAAAAAAAGCACACTTCGATCAATACGACACACTGTAGACGTAAACTTAATGTGTAACTGAGCATGGGCTTCAGAAGAAATCTCAGCTTGTTACCACAACGTGATGTTGCTCCGAGGCTCAGGAATCAATCTGGAAGCTAAACCTGGGTATTGATAAACTGTGTGTGTGTTGAGGGACTGTTACCAGCAGCTTCACTCTCTCCTTCCCCCTTTCTGTGCAAATTACACCAACAACAACAGGATGCTTTTACACTTCCACAGAACCTAAGGGCAAAAAAAAACACACTCGTATGCTTCCGCACAGGCATTAACACAGACATACAACACACAGCGTTATAATCGAGAGGTGTGCTGAATTATCAGCTGCGATCAATATATTCATGCCTTTTTCTTGTTTGGTCGCAATGGAAATCTATCTCACAGTGAGGGAAAGAGGCTGCAGCCGAATACTTCTGCCCCGGATTGACAGTCTACATTCAGAGATCATTTCAGTTGGTTTGTCTTTGAGCAAAAACTGAAGTTCAATATCGTGTAAACAGCAAAATGATTGGAGTAAAGGTGAAGATGATTTATTTTAGCCATGCTTACACATACTGTACATGGCATTTTATTAAAGATCACAAAAGGTGTGTGCATCATGAGTCAATCTTGTCTGATGTATGTACATTATATTCTTTTTACACAAGCTTTCTTTAGCTCTGTTGTCATGATGTCACTATATGCATTAAATGGAGAGAGGATGAATGGATGGCAGGATGTGTTGGATGAAGAAACAGGAGGAAACTCTTCGCTCGATCAAAGGGTAAAAGGGGAGGAGGGGGGATTATATTGTCAGTCGGGGTAGATGAGGAAGCCGGAGAAGGTGCTGTATTTGTTGGTGTTTCCACCATGAACTTTGCCCCCGTCCAGCTGAACACACACTTCGTCGCCCACGTCTAGGTGCAGGATGACGCTGTTTGAGGCGTAGTCGTAGTTCTGATCTGCGTCTTGGGCGATGGCGCTGGCTCTCACCTGGCATAGAGACAAGAACGTAGATCAAAGCTCGAAGTTAAGATTAAAACCAAAGGGAAAACCTTTCAGTTATTATTATTATTATTTTTTTACATGTTGCTCATTTAATTTTGGTTGCTATATTTTTCCCATAAGAATCTTGATTTCTTGTTGGGAATCATCTTTTCTCTATTCAGTCAGGTCCCATTTTCAATTATTAAACTTTATTCAGGTAAATTAATCCACATATTCTTCAACCTCGCAACGCTATTGAATATATAGTACTCAGCTCTTCATTACATGCACTCATCTTCATCATAAATAGTACTTAAATTAATGGATTTTAATGACGCATTAACCTTGTTCTTTTTCACTTCTAGATGATTATACAACATACAATGAGATTCAACAACAGGAAATGGGTGCACAAGTTTATATCATGGTGGATTTCATATAATTTCCACATAGCTAAAATTATACATATTGGTCCAAATATATACATAGACCCCAACTAAGATTTGGATAAATTCTCCTTAACTTGCTGCATCTAAACCATACTATTGTAGCCCCAACAAGCTTCATAATTCTAGATTTGATCACTTTGTTTTTGGCAGCATGTGCAAATTTAATCCAAATTGGTTGTTTTCCTGCTTTGATCTATTTATTAAACAAATAAATCTAGCTGGAATGATGTCAGAACCATTCCAGAACCTTAATGACAGTCGACTCTGGTTATGCTAATTTCAGTTTTGGTACTTCTATATAGCAAGAACACTCAATTGTTTCAAACCTCTAACTCAAACTATTACCGTCGGATGAGAAGGAATTGATTAGCAGAGCAACACAAGGACGAAGTAGATAAAGACAATCCCACAGAGGAATAATGATCCTAAACTGACACCATAGCTCATGAACCAGTATACCACTAAGCTTCTGATCCTGGAAAGCAACTACTTGTTTATGTTAAATTTAAATCTGGATCGCTTTTCTTGCGACTCAAACTCTGTCAAGACCTCTGAGGGGCTCATTTAGCTTTTAAAGTATGGTGAGATTTGTCATATTGACTTTATATTTCTATTTAAAAGCAAAGCTCTACAGGAAGATTGTTGTAAAAGACAACTATTTCACAATCAACCATCAGATTCAGTTTATTTGGAAATATGCTGCATCCAGTTCGCTCATACTGTGATCTGGGGGCTAATGTCATCAGTACTGATCCCTTCCTGCTCACTGGGTAGATAAATGAGATGTTCAGTGATCTTTGGCCTCGAACCTCCATCTGAGAGCACATTCTTAGTATCAATTTTTTCCCCCAGAGGATTGTTGCTCTCATAGCTGATCCACCTGTAGCAGAGGGGGATTGCAGAGGGATGAATGTGTCAGGGGACATATCGGATAATTTATCAGGCATTTAAAACTTACACAGCAAATCCTTCTGGGACGCATGTTCTCATCGCTCATACAGACTTTGTTTAACTTATTCTGAGTCCAAATTAATGTTTTGTACAGCAGTAATTATTATTACAGTTTTTTGGAATAATGTAATCAACAACTGTATATGAGTACATGGATATTTAACATAAATTTTAAAAAAAAGTCCAAATTTGTTCAAGTCATATAAACAATCATAACTTTAAAATCACCTTTTTAAAGTAAGAATTATGTAAGAAACAAATGAAATATGTGGGGATTGATACCCAAATACCAACTGATATTAATCACAATCTTATCACCATAGGGACATTGCTACCCAGCCAGGGTCTACAGCAGTTTCAATTAAAGTGAAAGCACAATCAGAAAGAAACTCTACAACTTTCACTGGAGCTTTAAGAGCCTTTTGCTCTCTTAAAAAAACACATGATCAGACCAAAGTTAGCAAGAGAGAAACCAGACATAAACCAGAGCTTCATGAATAATGTTCTTTTAAAATGTGGGTCTAAAATTTTAGGTTATTTCGACACCATAGCAAAGTGTTACGGTGTCTATTAGTGCGTAGTTTAGGTAAAATATGTAAATGGTACATGTGAAGTAGGGTTTGACTGTAAAACAGTAATATATCTCACAGTAAAGACATCATCATAGAATATCCAAAATATTCATTGAAGTCAGATTCAGAACTGCAAAGCAAGACTGGTGGAATCAACTAACTCACTCACTCTTTGGTCACCTAGCAACAAGCTTGTGGTTGCCTAGCGACTACTAGCTGAGAAACATTCACAGCAGCAGTTTAAGATTTTACCACCATACTTCATAACTGCTTAAAAATAACGATAATAATAAAAAAAACAATGCCATGGAGTGAAAACTGTGAATAAAAGAGAAAAGGTCACATCACCAGTTTGGCAGTATCTCAGATATAAAACAAACAAACAAAAAAAAACGAATCAATAATTATCAATATCGACTGATACGAAACCCTCATATCACCTACTGTGAAGCAACAACTAAACACCCCTGACAAGCCCCCTCTTTTTTGAATAAACAGTCTTCTGATGAGGACTATATTTACAGAACAGTTTACATTGTTACTGCAATGTTTTGCAGTGATTTAGCTGCGGCCCCTGTCTTGAGAAATGACAAGGATGAATGTCGCAGTCGTTAAATAAGCTCGAAACAAAGTCATGAACACAATTTCTGCTGTATATTTCCAGAGAACAGTTCCACAGTAAAGATATAAAGTTGCACATCGGCCTCTTTATCAATTCTGTTGTTAAAAATGTGAAGGTGTTGTTTTCATCCACCCTCACTGAAGTCTGTTTTTACAATCAGTAAGCAAATCTTATAATAAATTGAGCTTTCACTGGCCAAGTAACAAACTACCCGAGCAGACAAACAGTGGAGAATAAAGCATGCATCTGCATACATATTAATGAATGCAAATACAATGCCCCAACTCCATCCTCTGTCTCCTCCTCTGGGTCTCAGTCTGATGGAGGATATGGTTCATCATCTCCACCAGTCATCAAGCTTCCCATGTGATCAGAAAGATAAATCAAATAAGTCCAAAATAACAATTTTTCCCCCTCACATCCCACCTTTGTCACCTTTCTTCAATACAACTGAGCGTATTTATGGTTTTCTTGCAAAAGCGTTCGTTTAACAGCAACAAGGTGAACATGTTTGTTTCGTTCCCAAAGACGGAAATAAATCAATACATATCCTTTGTTTTAATTCAGCTCACATCTCTCCATTAATTGTTGTCTCCCCCACCACACCTCTCACCCGCTCCATCATCCCTCTCTCCTTCCCCACCCGATCCTTTTCTCTTCATTCTCGGCCCATCTATCCATCTTTTTGTGTCCGCGCATCGGAATAAGATGCAGGTCACGCACGCGTTTCCTCTCCCCCGCTTGCCAGTGTTGGCGGGAGCAGCGACTAAGTGTGTCCCTGTCCAGCCTAAATCGGATTGATTAACGACACACTACTATAGCAGGTCTCCAGAGAAACCCTACCCGACCCCCAAAATACCAAGACGTCCTCCCTTACATCCCTCCCCCTCCCAACTCCTTACAACATCCCTCACCCCTCCCATATTGTCCAGATGCATTAAGCCAGGCTATACATGGCTGCAAGCTACAGTAATTGGTAGTCTGACAGCCATGGCAGATCCCCGCCTAATAGGTTCAACTCCTCAATAACTCCATACAATCACAATAAATGGGGGAGCAGGCTAGGCAGCAGTGGTCAAACGGGCCGATGAAATACGAGCAGGAGGCCAGGATGAGATACTACACACTGGATGAAGTGGCTCTTCTTCTCCTTTTGTTTCTGTGAAACTCAAGTGAACACCTGAGGAACAAAATGTGCAGGATTTGTGGATTTTTGTTGCTTTAAAGAGCAAGTGTGCCGTGCTCCAAAGTGAATGAACAGCTCCCCAAAGGAGATCTAATAGGTTTTAGAAAAAAGAAAAACAACAACCTCCCCCGCCCCCCACCACCACCACAAAAAAAAATAAATAAATAAAAACAAGAAGATTCTGACAACTTGTACATCCAACATCTGTCTGCATGGCTGAATGGCGAAATTCCCCAGACGGCACCATCAGCTGAGCTAAAGGCTGTCAGCCAGATATAACTAGCTTTGAGAACAGTGCACTGATGAACAAAGAACGTCAAAAGCACTTATAGACAAAGCAAATTGCATTGCCTATTTATTAAAACCATTGCATTTGATGTGTGAGTTTGATAACTCGAACTTTTAAATCCTGAGACGGAGCTATCAGGCACATGCAGAGGTGGGGCGGGCTGGGGGTGCTTGAGCACCTGCCCCTTTTGCTCCTTGCCCCCAAGTGCCCTTTTGGTCAAATAGAATAGCACTTAACCAAGAAATCATTATTGATATAAATTTGTTATAAAAGTATTACTGATTGCACTTTAAAAATGAGGTAACTTTATGTTATTAAAGGTAAAGTTTAAACAGTAATGATTAATTGGTTAATGTCAAGTTGTCATAACAAAGACATTTTGAATAATGTCAACTTTGTATTAAAAGTGTCATAATTTACCGAATGACTCTTTATGACAACAGTCATAAATATTCATGAAGGCTTATTCATGTTCATGACAGGTGTTATGTCATGTTTATGACAGTGTCATGACAGTCTTATTCAACCCCCTTCAAATAAAGTGTTACCAAATGTTCAAATCCTGTGTATAACTATATTTAATTGCATTAGTTAAATTTTTCTATTGACTTTGGTTCTGATTCCAGTTGAGGCCATTTGTCTCTTATGAAGACGGATCAAATCAAATTACTGAGCGACCTTCAATTGTATCAATTGGAGGCAAAACCACTATATAGTGTAGACTTTCAATATATTTTAAAAAATAACACCCAACGCAGGTGCAAACAGATGAACGATCAGATCTTTACGTTTCATACGGAAAAAGATGCCCATGACTTCAGCAATGACCCAAGGTCGAGGGATAAAATAATGTTTTAACATATTCATGTTTTAACATATTTTAACATATTTCTTCTAATTGTATGAAGTATTGATGTTTTGCAGTGGCCAGACCAGA